CCCCCATGAGTATTTTTAAGTGTAGGTTTTATTACTATTCAGGTATGGTGAGGCCAACAGATCAGGAAATGACTGCCATTGAAAAGATAGTTCATTATTTACAGTTCCCAAGAGGAGGGAGTATGCGATGCCATCAGGCACCACACAGGGAAGCACCAGGGTTGATCAGGAGGCAGTGAGAGTGCAATGTGGACGAAAGGCTTTATTGTAGCTTCCATGGGAAGGAATGGTCAAGCCAGCGTAAGCAGGTTTAGGAATGGCTAGTTTGAATAATTTCAGCAGGCTCTGGGTCATAGTAAGGGCTGCCCCTAGTTGGCTGGTACCTGGCCCTAAAGTGATTAGGGCAGAGGATTAGTGGCCTAGAGTATAAGAGCCCTGCAAAAGCCTGATAAAAGAGATGATTGGGAGGATGAGCTCTGATTGGTGGTTTGTATATGAAAGGCATGCTTGCCATCAAGTCCTTTATTATCTCTAGGAATTGGCTACCCCTGAGAGGGGCAGTCCTTCCACGGTGAACAACGCCCAAAGATGTCAAAGCATCAAACATAGCAACTAGAAAATATGGCTATTACAATGAGTTACGTGATATTTTTTTTTCCATTTTACAGATAAGGAAACTGAGATACAAGCTGATTTGGTAGCCTGCCCAAAGTCGTACAGTTAGCCAGTAGCAGAGCTGGGATTTGAATTCAAATTGTTCTGGCCCTAAAATCCCATCCTGACCAGAACCAGGCCTGCTTTCCGCAGTATGTACCATCAGCACATCTGTCCCTGGGGTGTGTAGTGTTTTCAAAGGCCCATGAAAATGTTTGAGACCTAGGAAAAAAAGTTTTCAAAATATGGTAAGAACCAACCAGCCATCCAAACAAACAAAACCTTTGAAATTAATGACTATTCAATAAAATGACTACAAAACATAATGTTATGTCAACCAGTCCCCCTCAACTCATTTCTGTGGTATTAAGAGTTCTAGACAAACAACTACAGATAGAGCTACCATATGATCCAGCAATCCCACTACTGGGTATATATCCAAAGGAATGGAAGTCATTATGTTGAAGAGATACCTGCACTCCCATGTTTATTGCAGTGCTATTTACAATAGCCAAAATATGAAACCAACCTAAGTGTCCATCGACAGATGACTGGATAAAGAAAATGTGGTATATATACACAATGGAATACTACTCAGCATAAAAAAGAATGAAATTCTGACATTTCTAGCAACATGGATGAGTCTGGAGAAAATTATGTTAAGTGAAAAAAGCCAGACAAAGAAACAGAAATACCACATGTTCTCACTCATAACTGACTGCTAGGAAGAAAGGAAAGAAGTGAGGGAGGGAAGAAAGGAAGAAGGAAGGAAGGAAAGAAAGAATGAAAAGACTACAATGATACGTTGAACTTTCAGAAGGAGAGAACAAACCTAAGGATACTAGAGACGGGAGCGGGAGGGAAGGGGTTTGGGAAGTAATAGGTCAGGCAAAGGGCATAAAGAAATATCACAATTTGTAAGGATGAATATGCTAATAATAAACTTAAAAATTAAAAAAAAAATAAATAGAATGGAGGGAAAAAAAAAAGAGTTCTAGAGCCAGCATTTGAGTTTGCCAACTGCCTCTTATTAGCTACTTTACTGTGGACAAGTTTAGTAACTTTGGCCTTGGTTTACTCATCTGCAAAGGTGAATAATAATGTCTACATTGTGGGGTTGTGAGAATTATTATTATTATTATTTTTTTTTTTGGCAGCTGGCCAGTATGGGGATTCGAACCTGTGACTTTGGTGTTACAAGGCTGCACTCTAACCAAGGCAGCCCAACATCTGTAAAGCATTTAGATATGTTCTCACATGGAATAAATGCTCAATAAATGTTAGCTATTATTTTTTCTATCTAAAGTTAATGTGGGACGTAGGTGCACTTTGATATCTTTGATATAGCATGGAGTGAAACATGCAAGAAAAAGATGCCTAGGGGTTACAGAGTCTTAAAATTATTTCAGTAAACAGTTCTTAAGCACCCTAGGCTACGTGCTAGGCACAGAGGATACAGTGGTGAACAAGGTGACTTTCTAGTGGGGGAGGCAGACAATAATAAAATATGAGCACATAAAGTCAGGGGTGATAAGTACAATGAAGAAGAATTAAACACTAAGGGGATAGGATAGAGGCAGCAGTGGAGGTGTGTGGAGTGTGTTTTACATACATAGGGCAGTCAGAGAAGGTCTCTCTGAGGAGGTGACACTTGTGCAGAGACCTGAATGAAGTGAGTGAGGAAGCCATGCAAATATCTGGGGACATTCCAGACAGAGAGTAGAGCAAATGAGAAGACTGTTAAGCTGGAACAAGTTTGGAGTGTTTGAGAAGCATCAGGAAATGTGACTGGGACAGAATGAAGAAGGGGGAGAGTGATAAGAGATGAAGTCAGAGAGGGAGGTAGGGCTAAATTATGAAAGTCCTATCACCGGCAAAACCTGTCCTCCTCAGGGTTGTTTTTAAGACCAAAGCAGGAGAGTACAACATAAAATAACAGTTAAAAGTACAGACTCGAGGGCCGGCCCCGTGGCGCACTCGGGAGAGTGCAGCGCTTGGGAGTGCAGTGGCGCTCCCGCCGCAGGTTCGGATCCTATATAGGGATGGCCGGTGCGCTCACTGGCTGAGAGCGGTGCGTGCAACACCAAGCCAAGGGTTGCAATCCCCTTACTGGTCACAAAAAAGACAAAAAAAAAAAAAAAAAAGTACAGATTCGAGAATCAGATAGACACAATTTGATCATTTGTATTTGCTGAGCCTCAGTTTCCTCATCTACAAACTGAGAATAAACCTCTCTCTTCCGGGGTGGTCCAAAGATAAATGAAATAAAATAGGTGAAGATCCTGGCCCATGGTTATTGTTAAAGGAATGGCAGCTATTAAACTATAAATGCTATATTGATATTATTATTATTATTATTGCTGTTGGCAGATGATAGGCCAACTTGCAAAGATTAATGTCCTCAGATTATCTTCATAGATGGTCAAGAGGCCAGTAATGAGATTCCTGAGATCACTCTCACTGTCCAATGTCCATATTACTTCCTTGGCAGGAATTACATTCTGTCCTTCCCCAAGTGCATGCTTTGTCTCCTCAGTTATGTTGTCAATTCCTTTAGGACAAAAATTTAAATACTGGATTGTCTTTCTATATCTACACAAATTCTAACTCATTTTTTTTTTTTTGTCTTTTTGTCTTTTTTCGTGACCGGCAACGGATTGCAACCCTCAGTGTTGCGCCCGTACCAGACCGGGACCGGCAACGGGACCGCAACCCTCGGTGTTGCCCCCGCCCCTCACTCAGCCAGTGAGCGGCCGGTCTGCATGTGGGATCCGAACCCTCATCGGGAACGCCACTGTGCTTCCCAAGCGGTGCACTGCTGCAGTGCACCACCGGGCCGGCCCCTAACTTATTTTTTAAAAATAGCTGCAGAGTGGTTTAAAACAAATATGACGGCTTAAAACAACACAAATTTATTATCTTACAGTTCTGGAGGTCGGAAGTCTAAAGTCAGTAGGCAGGGCCGTGTTCCTTCTGAATGCTCTAGGGAAGAATTCATTTATTGCCTGTTCTAGCTTCCAGAGGATGCCCTCATTCCTTGGCTCATAGTCCTCACATCACTCCAATCTCTATCTCTGCTTTCATCATCACATCTCCTCCTCTCTGATCTCCTGCCTCCCTCTTATAAGGACCGTTGTGATTACATTAGGCCCACTTGGATAATCCAGGATAGTCTTCCCATTTCAAGATTTTTAATTTAATCACACCTGAAAATCCCTTTTCCTATATAAAGTAATATATTTTCAGGTTTCGCAGATTAGGATGTAGACATTTGGCGGGGGGGCAACTACCACATGTATAACTTATTTAACCAATGCCCCATTGATAACATTCAGATTGTGTTTGATTTTTCACCATTACAAACCATGCTGCAAGGAATATCATGGACTCATGTATTTTCACATCTGTTTGATTATGTCCTAGGAGTTAAACTGATAATCCAAAGGTATGTGCATTTAAAATATTGATAGATATTTTCAAATTTCTTTCCAAGACATACACATTAATTGTATAGGAACAATTGATAGCAATGAGACTGACTGCTTCCTCACACACCCCAACACAAGGTATTATCAAATTTTAAATCTTTACTTATCTGCTAGGTGAAAAGTAGTACAATATACCATAATTTTTTATTTAAAATTGAGCAATTTAGGGCCGGCCCGGTGGCGCACTGCTACAGTGCACTGCTTGCGAGCGCAGCGGTGCTCCTGCCGAGGGTTCGGATCCCACGTACAGACCGGTTCCCGCTCACTGGCTGAGGGAGGTGCGGACGCAACACCGAGGGTTGCGATGAGGGTTGCGATCCCGTTGCCGTCCTGGTCCGGTACGGGCGCGACACTGAGGGTTGCGATCCATTGCCGGTCACGAAAAAAGACAAAAAGGAAAAATAAAATAAAATAAAATTGAGCAATTTATGTATTGCTCATTTTTATTTCTTCTTCTGTGAACTGCCTATTTTCTATTTTTGTTTGTTTGTTTGTTTATTGATGAATGAGAGCCTTTCATCTATATATATATATGTTGCAAATATTTTCTCCATTTTTGTCCTAAGCTTTTGTTTAGTTTTTATGGGGTCAGATTTATTAATGTTTTCCTCTCAGATTTATTAACGTTTGAATGGCTTCTAAGTGTTTTGTTATGTTCTGAAAGACCTTCTTAACTTCAAGAATTTTTTCTTTAAAAGATGACCGGTAAGGGGATCTTAAAATGGCAAAAGCTTTCCAGTAAAGGCGAACGTGGTAAGCCCGCCAGCCCCTGCGGGGGGACAAACCTTCCCTCCCTGGCCAGCCTCCCAGCCTGAGAGTCCGGGGAAACGAGCGGAACGCAGGTGTGCGAGGCCCGGGAGCCGGACGAGCCCGGCCACCGAGCACTGTACGGCAGCGGGGGAGCGGTTTGGCGGGGACACAGGACCGCTCGGAGGCGGCCGCAATGCTCCCCTCCTCGCAGGAGTCGCTGGATGGGGATGAAAAGGAGCTAGAGAGCAGCGAGGAGGGTGGCTCCGCCGAGGAGCGGAGACTCGAGCCGCCTCCCAGCAGCCATTACTGTCTCTACACCTACCGCGGAAGCAGGTGCCGGCGCCCGGCCCCCCCTGCGGTCCCGCTCCGTGCCTGCTGCACGGCCTTGCATCCCACCCCCGGGCCGGCGGCCTGGCCCTTCCCAAACGCCATCTTCTCCTTTCCCTGCCAAGGTCTCTGGCCCGGAGGGCCCACCTCGCCTCCGTTCTTCGCGGCCGCCATCCTGGGCTTGTATGCCTGGCCCTCCCAAGCCCTTGCCGTCCATCTGTATCATTTCAGCCCCTTCCTCTTGCCCTTTGTTTAGCGAAGTGTCCCGCACGCTCAGTGCTGCCAGTTCCCATCCCCTGTCCTTCCTTTCATTATCTCCCCACCTTCTCCCATTTCTGCCACCACCTCCCACCCCCATCCTCTGATTATCCTTTGTGATTGCTGCCTCTTTTACCTCCTCCTGGCTGACTTTCCTGGGCTGTCTTGGCCCTGTAAAGTCTGTTTTCTCAGAGGAGTTTCTGACATTCTGGGTATTTAGCCTTTCCTCCACCCCTTTAGGTGACTTGTAGAGAGAGAAAGGGCTCCTCGCACCGTTTTATGGGTTTTCTCTGTCAGGAAGATAGACAATGGAGGATCCATGCACTTTGACCTCTCAGCATTTTTATTTGACTCCTCGACCTTATTCCGCTTGCGAGGACCCCATACTCCACCTGATTTAGAGCCTATAACTGATAGTACTGTTGCTTTTTTTTTTTTGTGGCTTGCAGATTAGCACAGCAACGAGCGGACAGTGATGATGGAAGCACAAATAGCACAAGTGCCGAAACTCCCTCTGGTGATGATTTCAGGTAAAAACAGCTGAACCCTAACCCATGCATGTGCTTTTATCTTCCATAGGTGTCTGGCCTGTAGATGTCAGTGGGTTCCCTATTTCCACTGAGCTTTCCCTGAGTCAAATCATCAATTTCTCCTAATCCCTAGGAACCTCATCCTGATTGCCTCATTGTTCATTGATTCAAGGCTGGGGAAGATCCAAATCTGACAGTGCCCCAGGTAGTGCTGATACTGACAGCGATTACCTGGAGAGGATTATTCTGAGTTTCTTGATTGGAACTCCAGTAAAATATTCAATATCATATTGCTATCAGAAAAAAAATTTTTTTTTTTTGGTGGCTGACTGGTACAGGGATTGAACCCTGGACCTTAGTGTTTATCAGCACGACGCTCCAATGTTTATCAGCACGACGCTCCAACCATCAAGATATTTAGGGCTTGTGGGTTAGCTCAGTTGATTTTACTGGCCAGCTGCCAAAAAAAAAAAAATTAACGTAAAGCATTCTGATTGTAGTTAATGATAATATATTGTATTCTTGAAAAATGCTAACAGAGTGGATGTTAAGTGTTCTTACCTCAAAAATAACTGTGAGGTAATGTGTATGTTAGTTGGCTAGATTTAACCATGCCACAAGGGTATTTCAAAAAGTTCATGGAAAGATTTGTATTATCTTTCAAGTTCTATTTTTCCATGAACTTTTTGTTTCTATTTTTGGCAAGTGGCCAGTATAGGGGATCTGAATCCATAAACTTTTTGAAGTCTCTTCATAGTTCAAAACATTGTATTTGGGCCGGCCTGTGGCTCACTCGGAAGAGTGTGGTGCTGATAACACGAAGGCCACGGGTTCGGATCCCATATACGGATGGCCAGTTTGCTCACTGGGTGAGCGTGGTGCTGACAACACCAAGTCAAGGGTTAAGATCCCCTTACCGGTCATCTTTAAAAAAAAACAAAAAACAAAAAACATTGTATTGTACATAATAAATACATAACAATTTTATGTCAATTTAAAAAAATGAATTTAAAAAAAAGAAATTTTAAATTTTCTTTTTTTCCCCTTTGAATATTCTGTAGTAGCTCCTCTTCCACACTAGAATGTAAACTCCAGGATGGCAGGAGTTGTCTGTTTTGTTCACTGATGTCTCCCTACTTTGTACCTCAAGTGGTGCCTGGAGCAGGGTAGACATTTAATGCATATTTCTTAAATGAATGTATGAATGCACCTTGACACTTGATGCAAAATAATGTGTAATACCAAAATATCATGTTCACTGAGTAGATAATGGATGATTTAAGGAATTTTTTGGTGTCATAATAGTATTATAGTTTCATATATATATATATGTACTTATATATATATATTTTTTAAGTCCTCATGTTTTAGAGATACATAGTGAAAAACTTATGGATGAAATGATATGATTGATATGATGCCTGGGACTTGCTTCAGAATAATCTGGGAGGTTGGGGAAGAAGGGGACAGCATAGGTGTACATATGAAACGAGACTGGCCATGAACTAACTGTTGAAACTGGGTGGTGGGCTCATTATACTATTCTCTCTACTTTTTATGTGTCTGAAATTTTCCATAATATAAGCTAAAACACAAGACCTAGGGAAATATGGGGTTCATATTTTCTATTGTGAAGTTTGGTGATAGAACACATTTTCTTTCTGCATATTCAGGTTATAGTTTCTGCTGGTAATCTAATCTAAACCAAACTGAAGTTTTGATTTTTAGCTCATAAAGGAACACCGAGTTGGTGTGTTTATTCTTGGGTAATAGGTGGTTTGAGGATTGAGGAAAGAGGAGGAGGCATGAAATAGGGATATAGGCAAATAGAAGAGTGAGTGAACCAGGAAATGTGGTGATAGCTGGGTAGTAGTTAGAGCCCACTTGAGGCTAGTGATCATTAATTTAAAATGAGACTAGACACTGTGGATGAAGGTTTTTATCCAGCCACATTCACCTGCATAGGTACGGGTGCAGAGATGATGGAGAGCTGTACTAACGAGGGCTGAAGTTTTACTAAGCAAGTACAAGTGAGGTGAAAACAACAAAGCAGTTGAATAAGCATGTGTGCAGCATATAAATTTTATTTGTCAATTATACCTAAATAAAGTTGGAAGAAAGGAAAAGAGAATGTGTGCAGGGATGTGATTATGACTGACCATGGAATTTTTTTTTTTTTTTTTTGGCTGCTGGCCAGGATGGGGATCCAAACTCATGATGACCATGGAATTTAAGCTGAGTATAGAGGGAATTGAGGAGATGAGAAGCTTGAGGGACTGATGAAAAGAGGTAGGGCTAGTAGATTTGGGGTTCAGTGGAGTAACAGTACTGGAGAGAATGAGCTGGAAAGATAGGAATATTTTTAACCATTTGATGAGGTAGATCATGCTTGGTGACATACATTCCCAGAAGCCTCACCAACAGGAGTCAGATAGACAGCATTCTCAGGTCTTTAAAAGAGACCCTGGCTTTGGTACCATTCTGTCTGACTTACGAGTGTGAATGCACTAGTGTACTGGTAAGGAATGTGTGTCTTTCTTTGTCAAGCCTCTCCTTGGTGGATACTAATCTACCATCTGAAGTGGAGCCAGAACTGCGCAGTTTCATTGCTAAGCGTCTTTTGAAGGGAGCAGTCTTTGAAGGGCTGGGTAATGTTGCATCTGTGGAGCTGAGGTAAGTGTAAAATGTGCTGTGTCCTGAGTTTTTTATTTCTGAGCTAAATATGAGAAGTGATGAGAAACTCGAAAAGATCAGCTTCTACCAGATCTGCCGAGTTGACCTTTGTTCTCTGACAGCTCTAGCACTTGGCCTCACACATAAACTTTTGTGGAATGGGATTGATTGAATGGCAGAGACTGGCACCTGAGTGTACTTTATTTAGTTTTGTACTTGGAAGAAAAGAGTTAATTACAAAAACTAAAATTGTATACTTTACAGTTTGTAAAGTGCTTTCACAAACTTTGATGCAATTCTCATTACAAAGGGGAGATAGAGCAGGTGCTCTCATTTCCATTTCAGATGAGGAAGTAAACTCAGAGAAGTGGGATGCCCAAAGTCACAAGACTGGTTACATCAATGGAGTTCAGGCTTAAACATAGGTGTCCTCAGTCTAATTCCAGCCATCTTTCCATTACACTCCTTGACTATATAGTTCACATCAGACCATGAAGTAGGTATACAGGTTCCCTCTGGAGTATGAGGCCACAGCCCCGGATAAGGCCGTAGGATAAACATGGCACATCTCTGAAGCATCAATGATTTGTCAAAGTTTGGGAGAGGGGAAACACATGCTAACAATAATGTAAATATGGGTGTACTATGAACAAGAGTAAAATTTGTGTGAATTTTTCACATGAGACAGGAGAATTCAAAGAAATTTCATGTCTGTTAGGGGCTATTTTAAATAAAGCCACCAGGTTATACATTCATTTTCCTCTGCTGTTACAAGTAAACTGATGAGAAGCCTGGGAAGTTTTCAGTTAGTGGGCAGTTTAACAGTGTTCCCAGATCAAGATGACCAGGATTCAAAGCAATCCACAAAATTAGATGCCTGAGTTACCAAAATAATACATTTTGCCTTTTTCTTTCTTTTCTAGAAATCCAGGTTACCGAGTTGGTTGTTATTATTGCCTTTTCCAACAAGAAAAACTGCTTCCGGAAATAACAGCAATGGACTGTGAACATAACCCTTCAGAGTACGTGGTCTGTTTTTTAGGAGGTTCTGAAAAAGGACTTGAGCTATATCCTTTCTTTGGTTTTTGAGGATATCGAAGGAAAACGTGGGAAGGCAAAACAGGAGGAGTATTACTACCGAATTCCCAAAAGCTTTTCTACTCCTTATGTGTTTACTTGAACTCCATACCTTCATATGGCCATTTTGCTTTGGCTTGCTTTAATTTACAGGTTGTGTTATTTGAGAGATTTTATATTTCCTGTTGAGAGATAAAACAGTCTTGATTATTCATCCTTTATTGCTTCCTTAAGAGCATACTTTCAGGCTTGAATTGGACAAGTACATTCAAGGGCTGAAAAATGACATGAACTGTGAGGTAAGATGACTGATTTAATAGTTTTTTAAGACTGAAATGATTAATATATGGTGACTGCTATACTTGTCAAGTCGTATAGGTAGACACAAAGACACCTAAATTCTGAAAACTTGCTACCTTGTGAGCCAGTAGACAGGTGATTTTTTTTTTTTTTTTAAAGTACTGGTAGAACTCAAGAAGTAGACGGGTGATTTTTAAGGGAAGCAGGAAACGTAGTCTTATTTTTTATTTTATTTTATTTTATTTTTTTTTTGTCTTTTCGTGTCCGGCAACGGATCGCAACCCTCAGTGTCGCGCCCGTACCGGACCGGGACCGGCAACGGGATCACAACCCTCGGTGTTGCACCCGCACCTCGCTCAGCCAGTGAGCGGGAACCGGTCTGTATGTGGGATCCGAACGCTCAGCCGGAGCGCCGCCGCGCTCCCAAGCGGCGCACTGTAGCAGTGCGCCACCGGGCCAGCCCAGGAAACGTAGTCTTAGAAGTGCTGAAAGTTTCACAAGACTGCTTCAGATGTTTGGTATCTATGAAAATTTTAATATAGTAAATTCAGTGGCATGTAGTAACATGGCTGGTGAGGAAGAGGATGCTCTCCTCTTGATTTCTAGGCATTTAAGATTTATATTTTCATCAGAACTAATGGTCCATGCAGCCTCTGGCACCAGAGACATGTGTAACAGTATGACTGTCCTTGGACTCACCATCCAAGATTTTTAGAAACCTTCCATTTTCATTAATCCATCTTTTATAAATTAGAAATAACCATATCAACCATTTATCCAAACCTTTTAAAAACCGTGCTTTCAGCTTACAGCAGTTGTTCAAGTCATGACTCTCATAAATTTACTACTCATTATATGTGGTAATAGTTTCTTTTCCTTGTCAAATGCCTACAAGAGGCTGCAGCAGGAGAGGAAGGGATAGCGTAGGAGTGAGCCAGGGATGTACATCTGGGGGAGCTGCTCTCCCAGACTGTTGCTCTTGCTGTGTGACACGAGTCTCCAGAGAGTTGTACAGCCTAGAAAACTAGATGTGCTCATGACAGCATGTCCAACAACTAGCATTGGTTTGAGTGCTTTGATGAGTTACTTGTGTCCTTCCCTATTTACATTTTGAGTACAAACGAATTCTCTGTCTACATTCCTTCAATCATTCAATAGACAATAAGCTCATACTCTACATGTTTCAGACACTGTACCAGGTGCTGAGGAAATGAGGATTATCAAGAGAGTATCTCTAGTGAGTGCACAGAATAGCAGGGGGGCAGGGGGGTGGGGAGGAGGCGGTGGACATGTAAATGCATGGAACCCTATTAATTCAGTCTCTTCGTTTTACATAATGCGTGTCCTAATGTGTTTTTAAGAAATTCAGTATAGAATTAATCTCCACCCTGCCCAGCAAGCCCAGGAAAGCTATGTCACAATTCCTGTTTTTGAGTTCATGGTGTTAACTTAAAAAAAGGAGGTGTCATTCCTGGCTGTTTTCGCCATCAAGAGTATAGTGAAGAAAATGTCAGGCCGGCCCGTGGCTCACTCGGGAGAGTGTGGTGCTGATAACACCAAGGCCACGGGTTCGGATCCCATATAGGGATGGCCGGTTCGCTCACTGGCTGAGCGTGGTGCCCATGATCTCAACCCTTGGCTTGGTGTTGTCAGCACCACGCTCAGCCAGTGAGCGAACCAGCCATCCCTATATGGGATCCGAACCCGTGGCCTTGGTGTTATCAGCACCACACTCTCCCGAGTGAGCCACGGGCCGGCCCACCGGTCATCTTTTTTTTAAAAAAAAAGAAAATGTCAAGTCAGCTAAGATGAAGGCTTATATTAAAGCAAGTGACATTCTCTCTTGATCTAGGAAAGGGGCCTGGAGAACCACATAAAGTCTTATCTGAGCAGCTGGTTTGAGGATGTTGTGTGCCCAATCCAAAGGGTGGTTCTTCTCTTTCAGGAGAAGCTTACCTTTCTGCTACATGCTGTAAGTATTGCCAAACAAGAGCATTTCCTAAATCAAGAGTCACTTTGGCAGAGTTTCGATTATTTAGAGATACACTCATTTTCTCTGAACATTACTTTCCCTTGAATTCAAACTATGCTTGCTGTCAGTTTATTTTCTTAGATGTGGAAAGTTCTGTTACTAATGTAGAATTACAAATGCAGGCTGAGTCTTCATAACAGGATAAAACATTTTAAAATAATTACTATTGGAAGTGATCTGGGAGAGGTGTAATTTCCAAAACAATTTGGAAAAGGAAACAAAAATCCAAAGTGGTTTTCAACTGTATAAAAATGTTAGTGAGCAGTGGCTGAAAAGGGCTCTGGAGAGCTCGTGGATAGTACCCATCAATCATTGTCTGGTGTGGTGGTTATTGGGGAAGGTGATATTTAGTCACAAGTAGCTGCTCAAAAAGAAAAAGTGGAATATAGGTATCAATCATGCTTATTTTTCTCTCATAGGCTTTGAATTATACTCCTGTTGAAGTTAAGGAATCAGATGAAAAAACAAGGAGAGACATTAACAGGTAAAGAACATAGTTTTTGCAAAGAGAACTTTTTCCATATCCAGCCTGATTTTTACATTTTAAACCCCCCTCAGTGCAGAACGAATTTGTTTTCTCCCTCTCATCCTGCTATATTGTTTGTGGAAAAGGACTCTGTGTTTGGCAGGTTTCTGAGTGTGGCCAGTCTTCAAGGACTTATTCATGAAGGCACTATGACATCTTTGTGCATGGCCATGACGGAGGAGCAGCATAAGTCTGTGGTCATTGATTGCAGTAGCTCCCAGCCTCAGTTCTATAATGCAGGTGAGCTGCAACCTCTGAAGCAGTCTTCCTGGATCTCTTGTGAGTGTCCATCTTTGCACTGAGAATGAACGATACAAACTCATTCTTCCTGCCTTGTGCAGTTTTACACAGATACCCCAAACTTGCTGAAAAAAATAATAATTCTAGAAACATGGAAATCATGTCATGCCTAGCATTTCCACTAAGTATATAAAGAGACTCTTGTATGTGTACACAAGGAGATAAATACAAAAATGTTCATAAAGGCATTGTTTGAAATAACAGATCATTGGAAGCAACTTAAATGTTTATCAACAGGAAAACTGAGGGCCGGCCTGTTTCTCACTTGGGAGAGTGTGGTGCTGATAACACCAAGGCCATGGGTTCAGATCCTATATAGGGACGGCCATTTTGCTCACTGGCTGAGCGGGGTGCTGATGACACCAAGCCAAGGGTTAAGATCCCCTTACCGGTCATCTTTAAAAAACAAAAAACAGGAAAACCGATAAACTGCTATATCCATGCAATGGAATATTATAGAGCAGTGAATATGTGTGAACTACAGCTACATGTGTCAGTATAGCTCTCAAACATACTATTTAGTGAAACAGCCATTAAAGAAAAATACATAAAAGTTTTTGGTTTTGGTTTTTTTCTTTTTTTCTTTTTGTCTTTGACACCTGGCCAGTATGGGGAATCCAACATAAAAGTTTTAACATATGTAAAATAATATACACAAGGCTTAGAGATACAAAGGAGTGTGGCAGAAGTTTAAAGAAATATATAGGAATGATAATCCTTTCAGATGGGAAAGGAGGAGGATATGATTAGGAGGGGTACACAGGGGACTTCAACTATTTTGGTATTTCTTAGCCACATGGTGAGCACACTGTTTTTTAGACCATTATGGAAGTCTTAAAGAAATCTTTATAAATGTTTTTATAAAGAAATAGATGTCTTATGCTTTGTAGGATTTCATTTTTATTTATTTAATTTCTCTAAAATATTTTGTAGGAAGCAACCGGTTTTGTGAGGATTGGATGCAGGCTTTTTTAAATGGTGCTGAAGGGGGTAACCCTTTTCTTTTCCGACAAGTACTGGAGAACTTTAAACTAAAGGTAATTAACTGGCTGTGTGCCAAGTGCCACATACAATTTTTGTCTGGATTTTAATTTGTACCAGTGACGGAGTAACAAATCTGCTTTATAGCTATGATGTCTATTAATTAGGACATACATTCTCAAAACTAGAATCATCAGAAAGCATTTATTATATTCTAATTACTCAGTAGCTTCTCCATGAATATCATTTCATTTCTAAAAAACTGAGTTGAATGCTTGCTTATATTTGAGACATTGATCTTACAATTTGGGATATATCTTATTTGCAAAGCACAAAAAAGTGTGGTTCAGTGCCTACGGGTTCAAAATTCTGATGGGGGAATGTTGTCATCTATTTAGGAGATTTTTTTAAGTGTTTTCATTTTATATAAGGCATTTTTTTCTGCCACTCAGTGCCTACGGGTTCAAAATTCTGATGGGGGAATGTTGTCATCTATTTAGGAGATTTTTTAAGTGTTTTCATTTTATATAAGGCATTTTTTTCTGCCAAGGGCAAAATATATCAGCAATAAAAATGAAACATGTCAGCAACATATGTTGGGTTTTCAGCTGGATAGGAGATATTTTTCAATCTTCATTGTTATCTTATTACACACATATTTGACTGGATAATCTTTTTCTAGGCCATACAAGACATAAACAATTTGAAGAGATTTATCCGACAGGCAGAAATGAATCATTATGCTTTGTTTAAATGTTACATGTTCCTAAAGAACTGTGGTAGTGGAGATATCCTTTTGAAGATTGTTAAAGTGGAACATGAAGAAATGCCTGAAGCCAAAAATGTGGTAGCTGTTCTTGAAGAATTCATGAAAGAAGCACTTGCCCAAAGTTTTTGATCATATGTTTTGAGATAATTGTAATAATGTGAAGCTGTGTACAGTGTCCAAGCCTTAGTGTTTGAAATTGCAGTTGTTATCATTGTTCATAGGATTGCTATGGAAGATTATTTGAAACTCATTCCAGATTCTTTTTTTTTGGACTTTTAAAATTTAACTTAATTGAACATAAAAATCTGAGGTGCATCTTCACTGAGTCCGAAATAGATATGGTGTTGGAGTTGTGGAGTTTTAATATATCTCTAGTCCCATAAATTCTAGACTTCAGGAAGGTGTTGCTTTAAAAAACTTTAGAGTTAATTTTTGGCTTCTCTCAGGAGATTGTTGCAGTATTTAGCACCTTTTTTCCCCAGAAAAACCATCATACTTCTTTCCCAATGGATTGTAGCTTCTTTTTAAAAATCTGATCCTAGTTTTAGGACACTACACCATTTCAAAGACAGATCTGTGCATCCTCTGGGCACCTGATACATTTTTTTGTTTGTTAATGGCATGGATGAGGAAGCCAGCTTTTAAGTCAATATATAAATAAATCATGAATGTGTAAGAAATTAAATGAGCTTTAAAAATAGATGCACTAGTTTCAATATAAAATACCATCTTTGATGGAAAGCTACCACAGAAGTGGCCCCCATCACCACATTTCTTTATTCACTTGGTCACAGGTATTTGCCAAGAGCCTGTATTTTCTTTTTTCCTTTAAATGAAAATGTTGGAGTTTTTAAAGTGTTAGAAAAGAAACAAAGTACATAAACTTTGCAAGCAAACTGTAACATAAGGAATGCAGAGATTCTTCATATCAGTTACTCACTGATTTTAGTTTTTTGTGCATTTGTTACAAGCCTCAGATTGTTTTACTGTGAATCAATTGAAAGTGCCCTCAGCTAGTCATTTATAATTCCCATGGAAGCCAAATGTAGCTGCATACGTATGCTAGGAACTTGTTCTGCATAGCTCTTTAATAAATTCAGTTGATAACGATTTTTGTTTAGAAGATCAGAAGTCTTGTGTTCTCACTGCTCTCAGAATGCTCAGAGGAATACAAGCCTGTAAACTGAGGAATCCTCTCTTAAATGGACCTAAATTCACATTAACTGCTGAGTTTGGAATTTCAGAATGACTGACAATAGCTTTTTGCTCTCTCCTGCATAAGTCTAGGGACATGATTCACCAAATCATTTCTTTTCCTTTAATGAGAAATACAATTCAGGATCTTCATAAATGCTTTCATATGGTTTTAAACTTTAATAACTTGGATTGTAAGCAATATAGAAACAAATCTAAGTGGGGTTTTTTTGTAGTATTAAATTCAGGATGACTATGGGAAATCAGCAATTTTATGACACTACCCTTGAATCCAACTCTTTTTAATGCGCTTGGTTGCCCACTTGGAAATAAGCAACATTAGGACATCAACATTTTGAGTCTGGAAAACATATTTTTCATTTTCAAATTCATATGTCATTCAAGAGTCTATGTTGTAATTCGCAATTAAAAGCAAATGTATTACCTGCTTCAAATCATTTATGGATACAGGCAAGGTATAATTATGTATTCTCTGTGTGTTTGTATATATTTTTTGTAATATAGGCTCACTGTATTACACAGTTGTATACGATAGTCTTATTTTAAAAAATAAGCCATGACAAACTGTATATCAGTACTATAGACAAGGAAAATGGTGTCAGAATTGAATATCTTGGGCCGGCCCGGTGGCACACTGCTATAGTGCGCCGCTTGGGAAGCGCGACGGCGCTCCCGC